TTAACCCTTTTGAAGGCCGTGGTAAGTATACTTACCACCACGTTTTACCACTTTTAATTTAGGTTTCCATTTTTCAATAACTTCAGCTTTCTTGAAGTGAGTTTGAATAAAATTGGTAACCATTTGTCACTTTTAAAAAAACGTATAAAAGTTATAAAATACATAATTACTTTTAAAGTTTGTAGCTTTTAAGGAATTTATTTTATAAAGAAATAAAAATAAAAATCAGCAAGTTCCTAATAGGTCATGTTAAATATATTTAGCACCAAAAAAATGGCATTTTTATAAACTAAATGAGCTTTTTTTTTATATCAATTACAGTTCTTAAAACAATTTCAATTCCAAAAATACTTTTATTTACCTTTACTAGAAATAAAGGGCCCATTTAGGGATTAATTAATTGTTATTTTGGTCAAACCCTTTTTACCGTGTTAAAAGAAATACTGTTTTTTTGAAATTAATTAAAATTTCAATATATTGGTTTCAGTTGCTGTGATTCAGATGGTTTATTTACTGAGTTATACTTAATATTTTTGAAAAACCAAATATCTTTATCTAAAATTAATAAAGTATTTTACAATTTTCCAGCACAATGCAACGAGTATACAGTTGAACGGCCTCTTTTTATTAAAGAAAAATAATTAATTTGCTTGGTCACGAGTAAAACTTCTAAAATCCACCATTTGAAATTTTTTATTAACTGCGTAACATCTCTGTTCTATTGAAAATACAACTGCAAATAAAAATTTTTTTTGGAAGCAAAGATATAGTCGGAGTTAAAAATTGAGGAATATTAATTTGAAAAATTTAAGTATAAAGTGGGACAAATTTACAACGTGTAGGATATTTGCAAATTTTATTAAAAGGCATTTTTGCAAAATGCCAGAACCAAAATAAATGCATTAATATACAAACTTTCTAACTATGTTGAAAAATTGTGAGCACTGCGCCTTTCCACTGTGGGAGAGGCGCAGTGCTCACAATTTTACGTTTCATTTTGTTCTGTTGCGATGAAGTTATAAGACTTAAGTGTAAAAGCAAAAAGGCGTGTAAACGGCGGCGTGTCGAAAAATGCTTAGGAAATACGACAGAAAACAATATCCAATTGATTGTTAGTTTGAGCATTAATAACTGGTTAACTTGTAGTAAAAAATATCAAGAGTGAAGCTCCAGAGCCGGTAGAAATTTGAAATTGCCATACTTGCTTATAAATATAGCACCATACTTCTTTATTTTAATTTGTTCGAAAGTTACTGCAATATTAAATGCTTTTCTTGCTATTTTCCTCACTTTTTTAGGACTTAAGAATTTGAAATTTCCATAACGTTTATAAAAGTATATAGGGTGCAGGATGGACGAATTTAAATTTGTAAGTCATTGTAATTATAAGTGTTTTTTTCTCGTCAGTTTTTCCACGGTTTTTTTTTAACGTTGCATTTAGAAGAGTTGTGGAAAAACTATCTGACTTAAAAACTTGAAATCACACTGGGTCTATAAGAGTGCACAGAAGAGACGGAAAAAAATTAACATTCGATCATTAGTTCGATTTTATGTTAAATTTTATGTTTCATTTTTTTCTGTACTTTTTTCAGCAAAAAGTACGGCGGCGTGTCGAAAAATGCTTAGAAAATACGACAGAAACAAATATCCAATTGATTGTTAGTTTGGACATTATTAACTGGAAAAGTTGCAGTAAAAATTATCACTAGAGACTCCATAGCCCGTAGAAATTTAACTCGCTGAAATTGCCATACTTGCTTTTAAATATAGCACCATGCTTCGTTTTTTTTATTTGTTCGAAAATTACGGCAATATAAATGGCTTTGTTATTAATGGCTCGAAAGTTTATTGAAATTATAAGTGTTTTTTTATCATCAGTTTTTTCACTCTTTTTTTTACGTTACATTTTGAAGATTTGTGCAAAAACTATCAAATTTAAAACCACACTGAATCTAGAAAAATGCAGAAAAGAGATGGAAATAAATTAAAATTCGATCACGAATTCGAGAATTGTGTAACTTGTACGTAAAAAGTACAAAACACCTGATCTGCAGCCCGCTTTAAAACAGCAAAGTTAAAATGTTTTGATATGAAATAGCAGTTTGTTTAAAAGTTGTTCTATTTTAAGTGCTTTTAGTTGCGGTTGTTTTTCTTTTTTTCGTTTTGATGTCAAAACTGACTATTTATCCATTCTAGAAGAAATGTTTTGCCTTTTTCTCGAGATGTTCAACTTGTATGCTCCAGCATGAAAAAATTTTTAACTTCTTGGCTTCTTGATGGCATTTTCGCGTCAAAAGTAACAAAAAAAAAAGAAAATTGAAAAAAGGAAAAAAAAATATATATAGAAAGAGTTATGCATTATTGTCAACGAAAATATGGCTTTTTCAGCATGCCAAATTTCGTAGCTTATTATATTTTACCGGGTAGCAGATCATCTCGCTTGATATTTTTTTCAACAATTTTAGCAATTCTCAAATGTTAGCTTTTTTCATTCTGCCATACTTCCTGCACATTTTCCTTTATCCATCGTAATTTCAAGTTTTTTAAGTTTTATAGCCATTGCACCGCTAAACAAAATGCAACGTAAAGTCAGAAAGTCAGAAAAAATTTCAATAACTTTTAAACAAATTTGAATTTCGAAAGAACAAAAAACCTCGTGTTGAGCTTCTAAACAAATATGGCCCTTTTAGCCCGTCAATTTTCATCTCTGTATTTCATTTATGCTGTCTGTAGAGCTGTCCATATGATAGTTTTTACTACAAATTTACCAGTTAAAGATTCTCATGCTAATTACCGAATGTTACATTTTTTTCATTTCATCATACATGTTCTTGCGCATGTTTCTACGCATCTTCTTATTCTTTTGATTTCTGTGTAGTAAAAATAAATGTAATACTAATTTATTATATTTTGCAATAGTTAAAAAAAAAATTAATTGCAAGATATACACATTTGCACGTTATGTTAAAAAATGCAATTTTAAATGGAAAAAATAGAAATTTGTAACCAAATCGGCTAAATAGTTCTTGAGAAATAAGGCTTTAGATATACGACTTTTTTAAAATGTAGTAATTTAGAAGCTATTCGACCGATTTTGTATTAAGTGGCAGCTCTAAATAAAATACACATATTGTTTCAGATAACTTTAAAAATACTGTTTTGACGCCGTAATTTACGCTTATCCTTGAGCTTATCTTACATAAAGAAATAAAAAGAGTAAAAAAGGAACAATGAATTCCGTTTTTGATTAAATACAGCTTTCATCTCAGCAAACACCACAGGTGCTGTCTTTCAAATGTTTGAAAAAAAATTGTCTCCAGTTTATAGTAATGGCTAATGCCAAACCACTAAGAAAAATTCATTTTTTAAGCATTTCTCTCGAGCGAACAAACTGAAATTTGTAAGCGTATTTTAGAAAATTGGTGGCATAAATTCCTTCCCTTAATTTGCTGTGAAGATTTCTAGACGTTTGCATAAGCGGCTCTGGAGTTATAAGCAAGACGTACATGGGTGATTCTTACGAAATATGACAATTTATTGTCCCTTGCTCCAAGATCTAATACTATAATGCTTAAAGAACTTTTTTTTAAAATTACTAATCAATAGCATTGCTGTTAGCATTTTAAAATGACTTTTCACTAGCATTGACTGTTTTGTATAGTTAAAAAATTTAATTGAACTTCAGAATGTCATTTTCCTTGCATGTCCCAAACAGTGTTTCCAATAATAACTAGTTTAAAAACTTCCTGTAAATTTTTCATTATCTAATTTTTTTTATCTCAACCAGTGTAAGCATTTCTAGAATATACGCAGAGGGTATTATTTGCAAAAACTTCGTTTAAATTAATTTTTTTCTGTCAATAATTTGCTTGTCCCAAGAAAATCTGTCATTTTCCTGGCTACTTTTATTTAGTGGTTTATAACCAAAATAGATAGAGCCAGCAATCAATATCTTACGTTAATAGATTGATTAGATACACTCCTACATGAACATGTCTTGTTGCATGAATAAAGAACCAATTTTCTATTTCGAAATCTATTTCAAAAATTTTTTCAAGGTGAGTAGGCTTTTGTGTTGTCATTTCCCTGGCTTCTTGAAATAAGTAATAACATAAACTACATAGATTTATGTGAGTTATTTTAAGAAATCCTGTTGTTTTCTGCAGAATATAAACGCCTTAGGCCAAAATATTAAATTAAAGTAAAGTTATATGCTATAAATTGGTGAATTTTTCATTATCCAGGTTGTCATTTTTCTGGCTTATGAATGCCAGGACATTGAAGTGTTGCCAGAATTTTTTTTAACTAATACTGTAAGGAGGGAAAGCAAAATATTAACTTAATACCAAGTTTATGTATGATTGTAATATGCTTGGGGATGTAATCAAAGTTATTTATTTATTTAATAATTGATTATTATACACAATTTTATTCCGTACATATCAGCAAAATTTTTTTTGTTGATTCTATCTACAGTGGATAAAAAGAATTAATTTAAGCAATTTGTGGTTCATCTAACATAAGGGCTTAAGTTGAATTACTTACTATTAACTTAAAATGACTGCTTTTTAAACTTCTAAGCTAATATGTCATTTTCCCGTCATTCAGGATTTAGTGAATTTCTATTTAATTTTTTTTCTCGAGCAAATGTCAATAAACTACACTGCTGTCTGTAAGATATTAATAAGTGTACATAAAAAAGTATACAAAAAAAAATTTAGATTGTTTTGAAGACTTCAAATTTGAAGAAATATTTTGGTCTGAATTGTCATGTTTAAAAAGAATCACCCACACATTTTTTTTTTCCTTTTTTTATTATACATATGATAAAAAAATATATATTACCTCCATGACCAGCCTCACAGGAGTATAGTATCCAACTAGTTATAAAAGCCATGGCAGAAATTCTACCAATGTTATAGAATGTAATAATTCTCAAGTCTTTTATCGGTAAAAATACTGCACCTGTGACTGCGATGAAGCACAGGATAGAAAAAATCCATCCAGTAATAACCCAAATCTATGAACAATGGAAAATAAAATTACATATACAGGAACATTAATCATTGTACTTAATTGATGTAAAATGATATGCAGTAGTAAACAGAAGTTATAATCCGAATTTGATGTTATGCAGCAGTAAGCATAAGCTTTAAGCTGAATTTGAAGCTATGCTGTAGAATGCAAAAGGTTTAAGCCGAATTAGATGTTATGCAGCAGTAAGCAAAAGCTTTAAGCTGAATTTGTCGTTATGCAAAAAGTTTAATCCGAATGAGATGTTATGCAGTAGTAAGCAAAAGTTTTAAGCTGAATTTGATGTTATGCAGTAGAATGCGAAAGGTTTAAGCTGAATTTGATGTTAAGCAGTAGAATGCAAAAGTTTTAATCCGAATTTGATGATATGCTTACTAATGAATAGCAAAAGCTTTAAGCTAAATTTGTCGTTATGTAAAAATTTTGATCCGAATGAGATGTTATGCAGTAGGAAGCAAAAATTTTAAGCCTAATTTGATGTTATGCAGTAGAATGCGAAAGTTTTAAGCTGAATTTGATGTTATGCAGTAGAATAAAAAAATTTTAAGCCAAATTTGATGTTATGCAGTAGAATGAAAAAGTTTTAAGCCGAATTTGATGTCATGCAGTAGAATGAAAAAGTTTTTAGCCGAATTTGATGTTATGCAGTAGAATGCGAAACTTGTAAGCCGAATTTGATGTTATGCAGCAGTAAGCAAAAGCTTTAAGTTAAATTTGACGTTATGCAAAAATTTCAACCCGAATTTGATGTTATGCAGTAATTAGCAAAAGTTATAAACTACATTTAACTTTGATAAATAAATTTCAAAAGGATTTTGAAATTTTTTTGTCTATTGATGGAATAAATCAATACTAAATACACGATATCACTAAATTATTGTGTAATACCTCATAACTTATGATTAAAGTAGAATTTGGCAGGCCGATTTTGATAAAGATTTCTGTCAAATATTATATTAAGTTAAATTTTTTTTTATCTCAAACAAAACAGAGCTTAGTTTGCTACAAATAAAAATCTGTATTTTTCATTACTTATTTTTTGTCTGTTGAATATTGTGTTTCTTCTTATTTATTTTCAGATTATCAGCTTTTAGGATATTTTTGTTCTTCAGAGTTTCAAATTTAAGTACGTTTCTTACTGAATAAATTTTACTTTAACAATTTTTGTAAATAGCTGAATATATTTTAAGAAATTAGTGCTCAAATATGTTAGGTGAATTAGGTCAAATAGCACACAATATTCTAACTTCATATATTTCCCGATTCAATTTGAGTTGATAGGGAAACAATGAATTTTGAAAAGTAAATGAAAGGCATGCTGATTACCGATTAAAAAAATAATAATAAAAACCATTTTCAACATTATATGATATGTGGATATTAGCTAATAATACGCCTAATACAGATTTAATTGCGTTTAGCTAAGAAAATTATTTTCAAAAGATTTTAACTATTTAACTGTCTGAGAAATATACTCTCTTTCCTGTCAAAAAAAAACTAGCTTTCCTATATGTTGTTTATTGAAGAAATGTTTGTCAGGGAAATGTAAGTCAAAATTTATTTATTTTCTATTTTAATTCAAAAGAAAAAAACCCTTGCTTGAAAAAGCTTTTCTGCAATTTAAAATATTAGTGTTTAATAAACACACAAATTTTATGAAAAAATTAAATAAAAAAGAAAAATTATAATAGAAAAATAAAAGAGGAAGTGATATTCATGTATGTCGAGTTGTCAGCTTTGCATTTTAATAATTTATTGAGAAGAAGAAATGCATTTGCTTAATATATAGTTCGAAATTTAAATTTCAGAAAACCTACATGTCAGTTGCTAGCCATCAGCATCAACCCGATATCATTTGTGTTTCACTTTTAGCTTTTTGATACTAGCTGAATACCCCCTCTCAATACGGGATAAAAAAATTAACTATCAATACATGAGTACTAAAAAAAAAACCACGAAATCATGCACAAAAAAGACATATTGCAATACAATTAATGAACCTAAAATAATTTAATTTTTTAAAATTTGTTTTCAATTTTAGTCCTTTCCGGTGGCTTTACGTTATTAGTTTAAACTAAACGTGTTTTCTGTAGTCCATTGGCGTCAATAATAGCATGGCAATTTTTTAATTATTTTTGACCTAAAAGAATTATTACTATTTCTCCATTAGTTTTGCCTTTTAGTGCATAGCTTATAGTTTTTCTAATTAGCATCTATTACCAAAAGTAATTAAGTATCAGTGTCTACAATAATAGTATGGTAATTCTTTTACTTTTTTCCTAAATGAATTAGAATAATTTCTTCATTAATTTTTCTATTTAGTACGTGTTTTTTTAAAAATTGGAACTCACTATTATTGACGCAGATAGTGCTTAATTAATTCTGATAATAAGTACTAAATGAAATAAAAAATAATTTATATACTTAAAGCACTATAAATCAAAATGAACAAAGATAGGTCACTAATTTGCTCATGAGAAATGTAAAAAATCACCATAATATTATTGACGAAAATGATGCTTAACTAATTTTGGTAATAGACACTATATTATGGAAGTTAGTACAGTCTCAATGGGTACCAAATCTTCAAATATACTATGACGTATCATATAAATATATTTGATATCCATAAAAACTAGGAAGCTTCATAAAATTCCTCTTAAGAAATAAGTTTTCAAGAAAATTGCGTGATTGTGTTAAACTGCGACTATAAGGAGTTGGTTTCGAGTTGAACACAGTTAATCTTTATTTTGATATAAACAACTACTAAAAATGGATTTTGCTTAATCTAATAACAAAAAGACACCAAGAAGGATGAAAGATTATAATGAATTTAAGAAAATTGAATTATTTTAGCTATAATGATTATGTTTAGCTTTATTGATTTCTTAGTATTGTACTGTACTTAGTACTGATATATTTATTGCTTGCTTTTTTCCACCCCATGCGAGGAACGGGTATTCAGCTAATAAAAGATAATTAAACGTTTAAAGGTCTGGTTTCTAAGGACAAGCGCCTTATCTGGGCGTCAGCGTCCCGCTGACGCCAGCAAAATACTGGTTTTTTAGCTCAAGTTCTGGTTTCTTAGAACTCGCGCCTTATCTGGGCGTCAGCGGAAAGTTGACGTAGAGCTTGACGCCAAAAAAATACTTTTTTGTTAGCTCAGCGTGAGCAGTCGGTCAACGCAGACATTATCTCTCATTGCGCATGCGTTAATAACGTAAACAAATATTTATTTTGAATTTGTATTGATTTTGTTATTGTCGACCAGTGTTTTAGAGAATAATGGCTTTGTCCAAGAAAAAACAAATTATAGCTGAGCTAAATGAAGAGTGCTATGTTTAATTAAGAAGCTATGTTTAATGTCAAAATCAAAATCTTGGCGGATTTCAATGTGCTGTTGGATGTTGTCCGCCATTGCTTCTGTGGTTAACGTCACGTTGTAATCCAACTGCAGTTGAGTTGGACGGCAATTGTAGATCAAGATGAGCGTTTGATGACGTATACTATCAAACTCACAAATGGACCAATCAGAGGTTAGCGCTGATTTCCAGCTGACGGCGTCCTGTCCTAAGAAACCAGGCCTTAAGAGCTTGAAGTCTGAATTCCAGTTTTAATGAGAGTTACAAGCAAAAAAACATCACTGAGACTATCTTTAAAATTGTCTGCAGTTTCTAACAATGGTACTTTCGAAATTCTTTAGAAGCAAATAAGAAAATTCCACTTTTAAAAATGTTTTTCCAAACAATCCAGTTAAATTTTCAAACAATATTTAAGCTAAAATAACCAGATTTATCCTCTGCTCAAATTTCAGCACGAAAGAACGAACGGTTCTGGAGTTACGAGACAGACGCACACATAAACAAACATTTTAATTTTATTATTATAGCTAAACCAATTTAAGTTTATTTTTTGCCAGTGGGCACTCTGTAACGTATTTTGAGTGAAATAATAGATAATAAATAATGATAGTACTAATCAAACATAGGAACAATGTCACTAGCACCCGTATTCACCACGCCGAGATAAATTCAAGAGTAACTCAGGGATCGGAATATCCACGGTTCAGAGTTACTCTCGGATTAACCCTCGCTTTTTATTCTCCAACCGTTTTCAACAGAGGATTTCACAACTCGAGTTTAACTCTTGCAGGAAATATAACGAGGCCTTTGATTGGGCAAGGTAAAAGCATGTGACTTTGTATATAACATAAACACGTGCATCGTGCATAAACAACTTAGCGTGAGTATCGCTAATTTAAGTGGAGAGGTTTTAAGAAACGATATCTTTCAGAAAAGTCTATTTCATCTAACTCTTCTTAGGTCATTATTTCTGGTAGTTGGGACATATCTTTCCCTTCTTTCAACAGTTTCAAGAAATTCAAGATCTTCAAGCTCAAACGCAGCGATAGAATCCTCCATCTTTTTTGTTTACAAGCTTCTCGTCAATAGGTTGCCCTCCGATAACACGGCAAAAACGGAGGGTTACCCGGAGAGTCAGAACTGTTGATGAAATCTGCGAGTTTGGCGAAATTTCGGCTGGAGAATAACGCTTCGCACTAAACTCGTGATTTTACTCTTACTCATAGATTACCCGGAGGTAATCTGTGTTGGTGAATACGGATGTACAGGTGAAACCAGTCTAGTTGACCACGCCTTGTAAGGTTTACACCAGCATAAATTGACCTCATTGGACAACTAGTCAAATTTTCAATTTGTGACGTAGCTAAGTTAACTGTTAACTGAGGGCGTAAACATTTTCTTCATTAAGGCCTCATCTTTTCTTTGAATATAAACAAAAACTGGTTTTTAAGCATGCGAAGATGTCCTCTTCTTCTCAAACATACTCAAATCAGAGCTTGTTAGGTAATAGCACTGGTAAAACCTCCTTCTTTGCTTCGGAAATTCACTTATGAGGAAAGCAGAAACAATCAAATCGAAACAGTTAAGAGGTTCAGTTTGATTCTCGTAGTGTGTTAAGGTCTGGTTTCTTAGGACAAGCGCCTTATCTGGGCGTCAGCGGAAAGTTGACGTAGAGAGTGATACAATTCTTTTTAAGA